TGTCTCTCTCCTTCATTGCTTTGTTTCTTCTGTTATTTGTGTGTGTCACCAGCTCCCTATCACTTCCAAAGGTCTTTACTACAGCTGCTCTTATTAGTTGTTTTTACACTGACACCCTGCGCTAGTGCCGTTTCAAAGGGTTGCAAATATCCCACCCTTTACAAGCTAAGAGTAGTATAATTGCGCACCACCCTGTGAAATCAGACAGCAAGTTGAGATTCCACACCAGAAGTGGAAGCAGGCATGTGAAAGAGGCTGGGGTGCATAACTTTGAATTCTCTGTTTTGTTTAGATTAGCATGCTGATCTGCATAAGCGTAAGCTATTAGATTTAGACACATGTGTTCTGTTAAGAATAACATCAAAAAATACAAAGTGTCAGCTATTTAAAAAAAGGTGCACAAATTATAGTGTCAATACTGCACATTTTACTGTTTGAGGTGTAATTTTAAATATCCTGGCACATTCCAACTTTCTAGTATGTGACAAGGTTAATGCTTCCGATCTCCAAAGTCCAAGTGTGTTGAATTGGAAAGTCATCAGGAGTCTGTATTTGCATTGAAATAGCACTTGATGTTATAGCTAAGGAACAGGTAGGACCCAAATATGCAGACCCAGGCCAGAGGAACTAGTGTATAGGAAAAATTTTATGGAAAAAAAAATACTGGACACAGAGTCAGAGGAAAAAAAACATAAGAAGAGCTCAACAAAAACATCAACCAGACTATAACTCAACAGTTCAGTCAGGGAGCAGGATTAAACAAACTCAAGGACCTACAACTCAAACAAAACCGAGAATCCAAAATGACAGGCGAGTCCAGAGTCCAAATAAAAACAGTCCAAGGGTTGCGAGGTAGGAAATAAAACAGAAGACAAATCCAGGCCAAAGGAAAAAGGAGAATAGGCAGAGAGTGGTGACTGAGGGAAAGGAGGAGATCATATGGGCAGAAGACCAGGGGATAACAAGCAGCAGGTGGAAATAATGAGTGCTGATTAGAAACCAAGGTAAAGCTGGGGCAGGTGTGGTGACACGGGGAACAGGAAATCAAACCAAAAGAAGAGCACAAGACAGAAAGTAAGTCCAAACCATAACACTTGAAAGTCAACAGAGGAGCTCAATACAATGTGAAACTGTACTTTTGTTGCATTTGCAGGTTAATAAAAATGTAACAATGTACTGTTTAATATTGATCACAGACCCCTGAATCCAGTCAAGTCAAATTCACACTGTTGGATATTTTTAAGTATCAGCAAACAGTGGATCGCAGGCTAAGATAATCAATATAAGATCATACTGTGATAAAAGTGGTGATTTACTCCATAGAAAGATTGCACTATTAAAATTAAAAGTCCTACATTCAAAATACTACTTAAATAAAAGAAGAGAAATATTCTCAGGAATATCAAAAGAGTACTAATTATACAGAAAATGGCCCCTGTCAGTGATGTAGGGTTTTATGGGACACTCTTAATACTGATGCAACAATTAAGCATTCAGTGTTTTAGTACTGTAGCTATAACACTGACAGTCGGGTAGTTTATTCCAGTGGTTCCCAACATAGTAACAAGGTAAATCAGGGGTTTAACAATGTATTGCATTTTATAAGGTAAATTATATGTGAAATTTTAATCTGGACAGTAAGATTCTATATCTGCCAGATAAATTGAGTGGAGTTAAAAAGTACAGTATAAAGTGTAAAGTAACATAGAATTGAAATACCCAAGTGTAATACAAGTACCTAAAAGTTGTATATAAGTACAGTACTTTGCTATTGTTTATCTTCTGTTTTAATTGTTATTTTATCACTGGTATAACCCAGTTTACAGAATTGGCTATTGTGGTACAAAAATATCTAAATAAATGACCTGATCTGCTTTGCCTCTTATGTAGAAAGGTCATATACTGTTTATTCATGAGAGACAATGTCAACTGGCATCAACATACACATGTAACATATTGAGTAAAACTGAAGCTTTCTTGAAGGACAATGATGATTTTCATTCTCATTTGGTAGAGGATAACAGTGTTCTAACACTGCTTACAATGCACTATCTATCTATTACCATGAGATCAATAGCACTTGAGGTTGAATGTCATTATGGATATTAGGTCCTGCTTGTCTGTATGGTGATGAGACATGAGGACATTATGCATGGTGGTGTGGGAGCCTGTGCATGTTTAGTGAGTGCAAGGGTGTACTCATAAGTGTTTGTGCTTGTGTTTCCACTTATGCTATTAGGTTTATTATGCATGTGTAATGTGCACAGAATGCTCACGATCGGTTATACACATCACCTTGTGCTCTTGGATAGTGTAATGGGCAATTTCCATGCTTTTTGGATGTTTTATAGACCAAATGATTAACTGAGAAAATAATAATGATGACAATTGTCAGTGGCAGCCCTAATAATATTATTTCTATGGTAACCAGAGATTTAACGTACATGAATTGTTAATTTATAAAATGCAGCCAATGAGAAACAAACACTGGCACAAGTAACAGTGAACTGTTATTCACATGTCCAGTTACCAGTGCCAGATTTATTCTTATATTAAATATGCACTGTTCCAGCCCAGGGGAAAGGCCAGAAGAACTATCATTCTCCAGCAGGTGAAACAAAATGTTCTGGTTTATCTGAATAATTTAAACCAGTCAGAATGAATAAGAGTCTGCCCCCAACTGTACTTACAGTAGAAGGTCAAAAATCCAGCTAGACTTCCAAATTATAGATCAACTTTAATGCAAGACAAAAGCATTCCAGCTTGTGGCCTTCGTCAGGGATTTTTGACCTTTTCAGTTTATTTTTCCTCATTTATGCACCTTGGCAGTGGGTGAAGTTGTTCCAGAAGTTTCTGCTTTGCCTAACTGCACTTAGCTCATAGCTACAGAAAATGTCATTGTTGAACATTTTGCAGACCATTCTTGAAACTCTTGCCATAACACTGCAGCATGCACACACTCTTTGATTCAGCCTTACAAATGATGCACTATGTTTACATACTAGCCCAAAACTAGTGTACACTTTTTGGAGCATTTAAATAAAACCCTGCCTGACATGATTGTCTCTATTGAGTTTAAAGTAGCTCACAATAAATGGGAAAGAAATAGAAAACAAGAAAAAAAAAATAGAGACAGAATGAACTAAATGAAAAAAATGAGGTTGAAATGAGGATGTGAATTGTGGCAGATGGCAGGGAGAGGAGAGGAGACGGGTGGAGGATGACGGATAAAGATAGAGACTGTCAGAGAGTGAGAAGAGAAACATGACTGTTTGGAAAAGGACAAGAAGTTAAAAGGAGAGGACGGAAATAACACAGAGAAATGTTAAAGAAGCAAAGGCTAGAGAGATGAGTGGAGGGAAATTGCAAAGAACAGAAGTAGAGAAAGAGTGGTGTAACCTGAGAAGATAAGAAGGATGAAATGTGGTGGGGAAAAGGGGTTGGGAGAGTAAGAGAGGAGGTCATTAATGCTGCGTAGTCTCAAGGACATTCATTAAAAAATTCCAAGGGGCATGCACCTTGTAATTTTATTATTTTTTTAAACCTGATGCTAAATGCTCCCTTCTGATGACATCAGTTGGAAAAAGGATTTTGATTTCACTCATCTACTTTGATAATAGCTTATTTTCACATAAAGACGGTGAATGGAATTTGAGCCAGGGAGCTTTTCTAAACTATTACAATTTTGAATATTCTCTCATTTTGATCAAACATAAACTGGAAAGCTTCTCTTCTCTTCTCTTCTCTTCTCTTCTCTTCTCTTCTCTTCTCTTCTGTACTCTCTAAACCTGTCACATAAGGCAGAGGAGGACAGACAGAGAACAAACAGTCAATGTTATTGGGGACAGGGATCATGTCCTATTAAATATGGATGGCTCTGTTATGGGACATGAAATATACATGGAACACCAGGCTGACATCTGTATGATCTGCGTTGAGACATGTCTGAGGAGATGAAGAGCAGGAAGCTAGCTCAAGACTAAAATGAGAGGCTGTGGGGTGACAAAGAAAGGAGGATGGGAACAGAGAAAGGCAGACATCAGGGCAACCTTGACGGTATTTGATCTCAGGCCAGTTGGGGCATTTTTTTTCCTTTTCTTTCTTTTCCTTATACACAAGGGCTTTTCCTAAGATGGGGATCAATATTTTATTGTTGTGTCTTGTTGTGCTGTTGATCCTCGGTGTTTAAGTGTTAATCTGAGGTCTTCACTCTGTGTGGTCATGACAAGTCTCATGGGACTTATTAACAGAGCAGGGCTAACCCCAGTGTCCAGGCTAAGACTCCCATTAGGCTCACATATATCCCTTAACCCTTGGGGTCATGGTCTCTATAACTTTACTGAACCAGTGGTCAAAGCTTTGGGTTTTGCAGTTGGCACTGCAGTGAGGTAGCTGATACAATGCTATAATAGTAAAGGCAGCACACAAACACAAGTCATAATGAACACAATAAAAGAGGGGGTTTTTGCCGGATAGTAAAAACATTTTCTTTCTGCTCCCTGCCTCTTCCCTGGGTCCCAGGTGAAGCAAAATCACGCTTATTGTATTTAATAAAATATGACTTTCTTTTTCCATATAAAAATGGTAAAAGATATTTTCCACTTAGTCCACCACTGCTGATACAGAACTGTGGCTAACAAATGTGTATAGTTGGACAGTAGTATATAAGGCAAAAGTGACTGAAAAGGTAGAATGAAATTCATTGTTTGAATTTATCTACAGTATATTCAGTTCATTTTATCAGATGAAAACTGTTATGAAATAAGAGTGTCTGTCACTGATTCTTTTTTCTCATAGCTAGGAACAAATATGACACAATAACCAATCGTGTTACTTGTTGTATATGCTGATACAATTATAAATGTTTTGATTTTGACTGTCTACATTTCTCGTGGCTAGGAGCCAGTATGCACATAGGACAGTATTTTCATATCACATATATTTCATGCATTGGCTATTAATATCATTAATACTTCATCTTTACTTCTGTCTATTTCCAGTTGCTAGGAACCAGTATGAACGAATGGGCAGTGATGTCACTATGCAGTGCGGCTCCCTGGACAATGATGCATCAGTGTCATGGAAAGTGAACGGTACAGATGTGAAGGCCCAGCACCGTCTAGAAGGTCCCCGACTAATCCTGACACAAGTGGATCTGAGCCACAATGGGCTCTACAGCTGTTTTCAGAACCCACATGGAGAGAGGCGTGACACCATCTTCCTTCACATCGGCAGTAAGTAGCCAAATATTATTATAGAATTATAGAAATATATTAAAGAATAAGAGAAAATGAATGTTGAATTATCCCAAAGGTAAAACTGGGTAACTGCAGCAGTAGAGGTAAAAAAGGTGCAACTCCAAAATAAATATATCACTTGATAATGAGACACTTCATGAATTTTACCTTGTCTCTTTATAAAAAGAAATATAAAACATTACTTGCAACTATAATTCATTATTTTCATTTCATGTACCATGGAAATGAAATGTTCCTCATTATGTTATGGTGCCGTTATGGCTGCCCTGCAGGCTGCTGCACCATCTATGTGTAAGAGCAAATGTGGCTTACTGGTTGAACACTGTGGTGGAGCTACACTGTTACTCAAAACTGTGTTGCACCATACACTTTAGCAACAGTCCAAAATTAATAAATAACATAAAATACGTACCTTTTGAGAAGGTGTAAGTCTGTCATCATTAACTGTTGTCATGGGTGGTAGCTGTGATACAGTATTTACATTGCTTGTGACAAACTACATTCATTTACATTTATGATGACATTAATATACAGGCTCAGTATTGCTATGTACTTTTATTAGACATGGTCACAAGTGTGAGTTTATGCTGCATTCACTTCATAAAGGAATTTCTATAGGCCTGGCTTGGTTGCATGCAACAGGAAATCATCACTTTTGTGTTATCAACCTCTGAAACTAGGCTAAATAACAGGAACACCCCTCTGCATAATGCAATAAATCTCTTCCAAAACAATTGTGTGGTTGGATCCACACCTTCCTAAAACAATGTGAACAAAACTGAGCATTATGAAGAATTTAGTGCTGGTCCTCTGCATTCATTTGGATTCTAAGTAATAAACTGCTTACTAAGCATACAATATACAGTAAGTAGGCTTTTTGTTTCAGTGGCTTTATGTACTCTCAGTGACAATATTTAGATTAACCCTCGAAAGTATGACTGGTCAATAACCCTCAGTGCAATACTTGTAAATATACCTTGTATGTATATATAGAATCAGAATCAGAATCTGCTTTATTGGCCAGGTGTGTCAGACACATGAGGAATTTGACTCTGGTCACATCGACTCTCAGTGTGTATGTACATATCCTCATGCAAGGGACAAGTAAACAGTAAACCAACATAAGGCTGTGTAATATAACAAAATAAGCAGTATTAACAAGCAACAAACTGTGAAAACAATGCAAAATAAGCAGTATAAATAGGCAGTAAACAATGCAGACAGACAAGGAATGCTCTTTGTGAAATGGGATAAGTAGGAATAAAAATAGAGTACTTAAAAATAGAGACCTGTATGAATCTGTATAATCTGTATGAGGTATATTTACAGGTATTGCAATGAGGGTTATTGTCCAGCAATACTGTCGTGGGTCAAGTGTTCATCAGAGTGACAGCCCGGGGGAAGAAACTGTCCTTGTGCCTGGTTGTCTTAGCATACATTGACCTCTGACTACTGTCAGTGCAGTTAGAGCACTGTCCCACCTATGGGGCAGGTCTTAGAGTTAGGATTAGAAGTTAGGTGTTAGGGTAAAATTCAGGGTTTAGAGTGTTACCGTCACAGTCTCAAGTTCAAAAATACCTACTGTATGCAGTCATCAGTTTCTAGAAAGTTATAAAACAGTTTTAAAAGTTGTTAAAAGCATGCTGCTACACTTTGTGGAAGCTAACACTGCTGCAGTCTGCTCTGTGGCAAATTAAAGAGAGGAATGCTATTTCAGAAAATATATCCACCTAGCCATCTTATTACTGCCATAGCTTTACAAATGCATTAATATCAAAGTATATTATGACTTTATAACTGATGTACTGATGTTCTTGATTTGAGCAAAATAATTATCAAATGATTAACCTGCATGCGGTTGCCTATCAATTTCCCAAAATGCCCTTTAATAAACATTTTTACATTAGATTTTACATTAGTACCCTTTTTATATATTTAGTGCATGCACAGAAAATCCCTTTATCTAAACAGTAACTGTAATAGTAAGTTGTATTTTTTTTATAATTTTTGAAGGGCTTTTCATTAAAATTTTAAACACTAATATAAAACTTGAATTGTCCTGATAACGATCTTTATAGCAAGACTAACTGCCAGCTGACATGCTCCTGGCGATTGCCTGCTAACATGACATTTGGTCATTCTGCTATTACAACTATGCATTTTAATAATCATACAAAAGTTAAATTGGTGTCAATTTAATGGTACGTATGCCATAGTGGCCTGTGAGTCAGCAACAGTCTTCTGTGAGATCCATTATTCTGAGGGTTAAGGTTTTATATGCTGGGCCTGTGCATAATAATGGTGTTGAGATAAGATAGACTTGTTAATGACAAGTACCCCAGAGGATTATGAAGTGAACATGCCTTTGTTAAATGTGGTATTTAGCTCAAGTGAAAAATCTTTATTCATATGTGGATTGTCTTTTTAAACTGCACATCTTAATAAAGGTACTCAGGGAGTGAAGTGCTTCTTTGGTAATTATTTAAAGGTTTTCTCTTGGATATTATTAATTTAATATTTCACTTTGCATGGGTTGTTGGATCATTAGGTGAATGAATATTTCTAGTGTAATATCACTTGTTCTTAAAGCATTACAGCATATATTCTGTCAAGGATTCCCACTAGTCAACTAAGCATCACTGGGTTTATGTAAGGTTAACTCAGTATGTGTGTTTTCAGTATTATTATATTACATCAGTTAATATCTGAGATTTACTGTGACAAGTGCCTCTTCTAATCTGTATCTGAGCCTCCCGTGTTCCTCCAGCAAGGCTGCTTGAATGCATTTGTTATTACAGTAATGCGGCATGATTGATAGCTGCCAACTGTTAAATGACATGTGTGAGAAAATCACTTTCATGTCAGAAGTGAGGTAATATTCTCATATTGTTATAAATAACAGGGATGCACTGGTTCATTATCTCTGCTGGCCAGCGAGATCATTTTCTGTCTCCCACCACTTCAGTCTGTTGGTAGTATAAAGGACAGGCAACATTTTAAATTAAATTTCCACAGGAAGGAATCATAGTGCAGCTGCTAGCTGGCTAGCAGGTGAAATTGAATATCTCTTTGGCATCAGTCATGACAGGCCACTTCAGAATGGTGCCAAAAGTGACTATTTCTGATACATAGCAGAAGAAAAAACTTGATTCATCACTTCAGTGACAATGAAAAATTTGAGCCCATACAATTTTCTTCTGTCTGACACTGTTGTATTATAGAGTGCACCTCAGGTCTAAATCAGAGGATGGCATACTGAAAGAAAGGCTGACTGGTCATGTTGCCTCATCTGGGCTCAGTCAAAATGTCACCACAGTAAATGATGGCCTTTCTGTGAATCTGGTGTTCTGCAGACAGTGTATACAAATACATACAGCTAATTCAATGTAAGAAAAAAAATCAGTTTTGAAAATGTGGTCAGCACATGTGTCCATCAGCTAAATAAAAAAACCACACCTGAATGATGGAGTCCACGTGTCAGCAGAACCAGTAGAAGGGTGAGAACACCAACCATCAAGATTCTCTTCCAAGGTCATGTTGAGTGTAACATTTCCATGTAAATTGATGAATGAGACTGTATGGGAGCGTGGCAGTTTGGTTAATCATATCGGCAATGATGAATTACTGAATGCAGAAATAATATTGAATTGATGAGTGTTTTATGTTATGGTAGATTATGTCAGCAGGATGAAAGATGCATTACATAAACATAACCAGAATACGTGTGTGTGTGTGTGTGTGTGTGTGTGTGAGAGAGAGAGACGTTTAGATAGAGAGAAATATACTGTAGTATATTTCGGCATCGTGCGCATGTGTGTGAAAGAGAAAAACAGTTACATTGTGTAAGTATTCATCAGGGGTGAATTACAAGTTTGTGAGAACAATACCTTAGTGGTGTAACCTGCCAGTGAGTGTAATAGCCTTGATAACAGTTGGTGATTTTATGACATGTTCAAGGCACACACTGGGGCAGCATTAACTCTAATTCTGCCTTTCAAACTACAGAAACTCAGATTGGCATCTCACACTCTGTCCCTCAGTCTTTCTTTGCCCTCCTTTGCATATTTACTTTTTCTGTTTTTTTCTTTTTGCTGTTTGCTTTCTCTGTCATGTTAACTGTCACCTACAAAACTTTTAAGTATTGTGCAGACACTGTGATAATGACATCATGACAGGTTACACTTGTTGTGTTTACCATCATGATGAAACCTTGGCTTAACGTAGTGTTTATGACTTCCATGGGGGATTATTTTGTTTTACACAGGTAGAAGTGTTGTCAGGAGAATAGCTCAGAGCAATCTGACTACACTTTTGGAGGTGTTTCTCCTTCATTCTTTGTCTCTCTTTTCCTCAGACTTTGTGATTATTTCTCCTCTGTCTTGGTATTTCTCTTTGTCAGTTTGATACATAGTATATCCTTTTATATAATTTTCTTTTCCACAATGAAATCGTCCTTCTGTGCTTGTCTTTCTGTCTCCAGATCCTCCATACATCCTCTACCCCTCCATCTCTCTCTGTCTCTGTGTTTTGTCTTGGAGTTTGTGGCAGCATCTGTTAACTATATGTTTACACTGGTTTGCATTAAGAACAAAAGACATCACACTGTAACCCTGAACTGTGTGAATGTGTGCTTGCCCCACCTTCACACCAAATCTTTGGAACGCTTGTGATCTTCTTCCAGATGTGTCAACATAATGTCAGCGCAGCGAGTCCACAATAGTGCCGACTTTTTTTTTTCTATATGAAAGTAGAGTGGCACACTGATGTCTGTTTCTTTTTCTTTTTGCATCAGTACACAACTGCATATAGTTCTTGGATACTTAAATTGCATTTTGATTGTCTGTTTGGATACAAGAAACTAGAAAAACCCATATAAATGTCAAATTGTATTGGCATGTGTATCTGTTGATGGATAGAAGCAAGTACCTGTGTCATACATTAATTTCCTAAAGATTTATCCTAATCTTAACCATTAC